GTCTGCTCTCACAGTCTTTCTCCAAAACTCATCCCTTAGCCCGGATGTCCTCCCAAACACATGTGCTTGCTCAGTCATAAGAAGCCTCAATTAAGCATCTGCACAATTTGACTTTAAATTACATAACTTTCTTGGTGCCCCCTCCAAGGAAAACAGTAGGCAAATGCACCCCTAATTAGTCAGCTTCCTCTACTGGGTTGTTAACTGCAAGTCAATTAGATGTTGGGCAATGTCTCCCAAAAAACGATGACTTTGGTTTTAGAACTATCAATCTTATTTCTGTTTGCCAGTCATTACATAATTGATCCAACAGCATGTTAAGAAAATGCCAAGTTCACAATTATGAAATTATGTCACTAAGCACCTCATATAAACAGAGGCTACAGAAATACACAAGGCTTTCTGCTAAGAAACAGACTGGCTTTTCAGTACCAAGTCATCTACCAGACTAGGCAGGCAGAGCACGAGAAATGAAAGGGAAGGAAAGGAAAAGGGGGGGGGGGGGGAGGAAGACAAGAAAAGAAGGAAGGAGGGGGGAAATCAACAGGAAACTGGTACTGCTACTGCTGTAGCTCCTGGTGATGAACCTGGTGGAAAACCAACACTCCATTAACAGCTGTGATGGCTATTCGTACCACATCTGGAATTAACTAAAGCCCAAAAGGCTGAGTACACCTGTGAGGTTTTTTTTTTTTTTTTTTTATTAAGTCATTTGAAGTTTGAGACCCACCTTTAATCCAGATCTTTTGAGGTGGGACGATCCAGCTTTAATCTGGCCCACACCTCTGGTGGCAGCTTATATAATGGCCATAAGAAGGAAGTTTGTGTTCTTTGCTTGCTTGCCCTCGATCTCACTGGCAAGTGAGATTCCTTCAATGGCATTAGAGCCTGCTTCTTTGGGATTCTGAAGACTAGCTGAGACATCCAGCCTTGTGAACTGAAGAACTCCTGGATTCTTGGACTTTGTGTAGACAGCCAACACTGGATTAGCTGGACCACAGACTGTAAACCATACTAATAAATCCCATATATATTCATTCTATCAGTTCTGTTCCTCTGCAGAACCATGACTAACACAAGAGATGTCTCAAAAGGTGTGCTGTTTACCTTGTATACAAATAGATGACACCACATGGACATTGAGGTGGTTTGAATTGGTATGACCCCATACACTCACATATTTGAATGCTTGGCCCACAGGGAGTGGCACTATTTAGGAGATGTGGCCTTGTTAGAGTAGGTATGATATTGTTGGAGAAGTGTGTCACTTTGGAGGCACTCTTTGAAGTCTTATATGTTCAAGCTATGCCCAGTGTGGCTTAGTCTCCTTCTGCTGCCTGGAGATCCAGATATAGAACTCTCAGCTCTTTCTCCAGCACCATGTCTTCCTATGTGCTGCCATGCTTCTCGACATGACAGTAATGCACTAAACCTCTGAAACTGTAAACTAGCCCCAATGAAATGTTTTCCTTTGTAAGAGTTGTGGTGGTCATGGTGTCTCTTCACAGCAATAACATCCTAACTAAGAAAGACATCTACTCAAATAGAATCTAGATAGTAGTACTACTTCTTGATATCTGAATCCAGTTTACAAAAAATTTTTTACCAGTTGCATCTCTGGGAGTTCAAGGCTTGACGGGTCTGTCAGACCTCATCTCAAAAAACTAAAACAAATAAAACACACACACACACACACACACACACACACACACACACACAAAGTATAAAAACAGTACACAGCAGCAAAGAGAAACCATTTTAATACCCAAAGCCTTGCTGTTAGCAGGCTCACCCATGATTCTACTGTGTGTAGTACAGTCTGGCGTGACTTGCTTCCTATCTATTTACTTCCCAACCCAGGGAATTTCAATGAGATGGTTAAGCTGTGCAGTGTATTCTTAAACAGAGCCGAGGATCCTGCCCTCAAACAGCTTTATCGACTGGAACATTCTCAGATTCCTGCAAGGCAGCTTGGCATGGACATTTGCATTGAAACTGCTTATTCCAAAGGTGGCAAAGCAGCTGAGGCCCTTGCGCCCACAGGTTGCTTGTGTTCACATCACAGCTTGGAAGTGATAAAGACTGCACGAGGAGCAGATCTTCCACCAACAGCTCTGCAGGCTGGCTCTGCTCCTGCAAAGTCACTGGAGCCATGAGGGCTTCCTAATGATGTCATCTGTTCAGGTTCTCCAGGGACTTAGAGGAAGCACTGTCTTTGCACACAGTCTCTATCATAAGGGTTCTGGCTGGCAGCATGAGTGTTCCCTCTCCAGCCATGTGGCCACAGTGAACCATCTATTGTCCCCACTGCAGAGTGCACAGGATGAAGATGCTCACTTTTCTCATCAGATTTACTGACAGCCTCATTTCCTGCCAAAAGGATCGGACCACACTTTCAACCCTATCAAAAGAAACACAAAAACCCTATCAGGATTCATTGTTAAGCATCTGAGCACCCCCTCCCCCTTGATCCCAAACAAACAAGATGATGTGGGAATGAAATTCCACATGACTGAGACACTGAAATGGGGGAGACCAGCCACTGGAACTCTGCAAAGAGGTGCCAGGCAGGCATGGCAGCTGTGAGGGGTTTTTTAAATGGCTTAGCAACTATTCCCTATTAGGAAAAAATGGATCTGGCCTAGGACCCACAGATTGCAGGAGTTGGGTTAAAAAACTAAAAAAAAAACTTCTCATTCTCAGCCAACTTGGATCGTTTTAAAGGAACATCTCGTCCAGCCCTGACGGGAGCTTTGGCGACTTCTGTAGGAAGTGAATCCCACATCAATGAACACAGTTTACCCATAAACACTACCTTCTCCATGAGGGTGGTGTTTACAGAGGTCCTGGTATAGGAGGCTGCAAAGCAGGTGATCTGCTGCATACTTAATTACATTTCATGCCCACTTACCAAGTGTAAAAGCTGGGCCCAGTGACCTTGTGAAAAGTACTAGGCACCGAAATATTAGCAGGAAGTCTTGGATAGCTCTGACAAGACAGGGACTATGGTAAAATAACCAGCAAGATCAGGTTCCCAAGAGAAAAATCACCCCCTCTCCACACAAAGCAAGCGCTCATGCCCCATGGCCCACATGGCATTGTTTGGAATTTTTTAAGTTTACCTGGTGGCTGGACATCTTCCTGGACAATACCAGCTCGATTTACAGCCTGCTCCTTCTCTGAGAAACACAACAAGACAATGAATTACTCTTTAGAAAAGAGGGGTGGGCAATTTTTTTCTATTTACATAGGCCAATTACAAAGCATATTTATGAGTGTGACTCAATTCCGGGATGCCGTTACTTGAAGCTAGGACCTATGATGTAAAAAGAGCCACACTTCAGACAAAAAGCTCCCAGCCAACATCTTTTCCCTGTGATCTCAGCATTGTGGAAGGGACACAACACAACAGAAAAACAGTTCTGAAGAGCTGGTGGGTGTGACATTACAAGCAGAGGTCTGCTGCAAAGAAGGGACAGGCACAATTATCAAGAAAACGGTGTCTAAAAACACTCCACTGAAGGACTGGACTCCAAGCTAAATATGCTATGTTTTTGATAGGAAATAGAGCAGAAAATTAATCTTTGGGTGGGTGGCTTTGGTTTGGATAATTGAAGCTTCCCTAATTGATTGCAGGTGCTGTGCCAATTAGTGAGCTCGGTGTAGCTGCAGCAGCTAAGCCTGGCACTTTGGAGATGTCCAACAGGCAAAGGCCAAGAGAAACCAAGCATTTTATGAGTGTGGGCTTCAAGTTCCCAGACACATCTTTCTAAGTGGTTTGGAAGAAACCTGAGGCCTCTGACGACCAAGAATTATTATTTTAAGTATCTTGACAAATGGTAGCTTTTTAGAGGAAAGACTTAAAGCCAGAGGATGTTGGCTCCTAAGTTGCAGTGATTAAATGCTGTAATCAGACCTTTGTTTTAATAGATTTACTGTTTCTTTATAGCCACTCTCGGCTTTTATTTGATACTAGGCCATCCACCCTGTCTTCCCTCATAGGCCTGTTGCAAATACAAGAAACAGGGTTCTGCCAACTCTGATACTCACCGAATCTGTTTCTCTAGAGGCTCAACAGAAAGTCAATCCTAAATGATTTACCCAATAGTCTTATCAATACTAACTTTATAGGGCGATGGGGGCTGTGGGAATCTTAATTCTAAGAAGGGAGGGAGAAGACCAGGAACAATGGGCCACCTATCCCCAGTGGCCTCTCTCAGGTAAATGGCACACAGATGCTATGGGTCTACAGATGCCAACTCAAGGGAACAGTGGCACCTCTTGATACAAAGGTGTTCTCATTGTGGAAGATGTCAAATCCTGAAGACCTGAGCCCTAGAAGGATGTCAACAGGGAAGTCTCAAAAAAGGCTGTGTCAAACAAGTGCTTAACACTAGCAGGCAAAACACACCATCATTGAGTCTCACCAGGAACAAAATGAGATAAGAGTTTTCCAGACCTAAGATGTTTCTGATATTGTGAAAGCAGGAAGAGGAGAGTTTGAACAATAGCCATGAAGCATTCTAGATGCACAGACAAAGAAATTCAGTCACCCTGAGGTACCAAACTCATTCTCTAAGAAGCAGGTACCACACTGCAGGGCCCAAGATGCTGGCAGGTTGCCAGGCATCACTGGGAGGAAGCTGCTAGTTGGTGGCAGGGACAGAATGCCTAATTGTGTTCCAACCTCTTGTCATGCAGGGGAGAACCAAGGATACAGAGAGTATCCCTGTCTTGACAAGTTCCTGCTAATTGCTAATGAGGCTGGAGAGAGGCTGAAGATTTGTTTAAACAGGCTGTAATCTCATCTTAATCTGAGTCCTTATGCAACCACCTTAGTAGCATGGCCTGGACCAGCAAGCTAAACCAGTTCCTACAAAGTGATAACTGAATATTAACCCCTGATTAAATCCACCCATTTCTCTGATCCATTAAAGCCTCAGAAACACTCTGAGGCCAAAGCAGTCTTATGAAAATTCAGGAGACCACACAAAGACACTTTATTTGAGAATGCAGAATCTGCTAATGGGAAAACAGAAACCAGTCTCTCAGGATTCAGCATGTTCATCTTGATGAAGTTGACAGGTTTCTATTTCATTGTCACTGGAGGAACAGCAAATATCTATGAACCTCAGGACAGCAGTGGAGGTAGAAGGCGGCTTTAGCTATGTGAACAAATAAGCTAATTACTGACTTTGGCTGTGAGCAAGTTTCCATGTAAAATGCTTAAAACCCAACTGTGGGCCGAGTTAGAAAATTCCCTGCTCCAGTATCTGGCAAGTCCAACTCTGCCCCCTGGTGCTAAGGCTGAGGTCTGATTTGTAGTTTTAATTGAAGCTAGTTCCTTCTAGTCAAAGGGTGATGGTGTATTATTAAACCTGTTTATACATGCAGGTGGGCTGACTTTGTCTAAGAATGAGTCTGAGTCTGAGAATGAGTGAAGGTTTGCAGTGGGAGGTAAAAATCTGCTGTATTGGGAGCTGTAGTTAACACTGACCTCCCTCAGCAGACCCCCAAGTGCTTTTCTGTGGGTGCCCCGATAAAGGGACAGCAGATAACCAAGCAAAGAAAAGTCTGAAAAGAACAAGACCTATCTACCTTCCCATCTCCTCCAACGACCTACAGTCGAAGAAAGGGCAATTTATAACCTGGAGTAATTGGGACAAATGGCAGCATTTGGATACAGTCTCTGTACTAGACAGCTGTGTTGCATGGATATTAAATTTCCTGGATTCTTGACTATACTGTCCTTGTTCTTGGCAAAAACAGGCTCACGTACTTAGGAATAAAAGCTCATAATGTCTTCAACCCACTCTCAAATGGCTCAACAAAATAATAGTAATGACAGCAATCTAGGTATGTATGTATTCTCTGTAAGGACAGAAAGCAAATATGGTGAACGTTAACAACCAGCAAATCCAGGTGACAGACACAGACACAGGAATTTATGGTCTATCCTTGGATCTTTTGTCACTTGAACTTTTTCTTAACACACACACACACACACACACACACACACACACACACCCCTGCAAACCAGCTAGATAAGAAAGTCCAATAACATGTGACCATTCCAGTATGGCTGCTTCAAGCAGCTATCTGTTTAAAATTAGCGGGACAGACTTAAGTACTCCCATTTGAGCTGCTGACTAGGCTCTGCCATCTACCTACAGGAGAGTCCAGAACTCAAAGTGCCCTGGAGCAGCTGGGAACCCGAGGCCACAGGACACAGTCATCAAGTGGGAAGTAGTGACCATGGGTACCAAATGGTCATAAATCCAAGTGGACCCAGGGACAGAATAGTGACTGAAACTCAGACTGAGAGCAACACACAGCTGTAACAGCAGGTATAAACCAGCTGGCTAAGAAGACAGGACATCAGTGTGAAGCAGCTGGCTAAGGGGACAGAACACTGGTGTGAAGCAGCTGGCTGAGACCAAATGTACCCATTGAGAATGGGCAGCTTAGAGATCTGCTGGTGTCCCAGAAGCCACATCATGGCTTCAGCTCACCTGAGCCAGCTAGCTGAAGGAACTGGAGGCCACTTCAATCACTGTTCTCTGGCATTGTAAACATGTCTGCACACTCATCAAAAGCAGTCTGAATACAGACAGCTTTGAAATGCTGGTTAGGAAGCAGGACTTCAGCCAGTCTCTGCATTTTGCTCGATTATACAGTGAATGGGGTGAAAATCATTCTAAGCACCTGGCGTGTACCAGGGAAAATGCCCTTACAAGAAAGGGATTTGCACATCCAGTAATTTTTTTTGTAATCTTGTTCTAGCAGATATATAACACAGTTTCAACTGGGGGCAGCAAGGGACAGCAGAAAGAACACAGGAGAGAAACAGAAGAATCACCTCCTCCCAGCTCACCCATGTAACCATTTACCCCACTGCCCTGCAACTTCACTCTTTTTAGGTATCCTGACAGGGTATTAAGTGAGCAAGGTCAAAGAGTAAGGGTCTAGTGTCTATCCAGCAATTAACATGCAGAGTGACACTAGATATGGTACCTAAATGTCAAGAATAGATGAGCTCCTGGCCTTCTGGTAAAACCCTAAGATTTTGTACTCTGTACATCTAATTAAAACAGGGAAAGATCAATATTAAAAAAAAGAAAAAAAGAAAAAAACAAATCAAAAAAATTGCTCTTACTGTATCCCATGTCACCACCATTTGACTTCAATGCCCAAAAAACATGCCGGTTTTAAAGGGCCAGACTCAGAATTGGATTAGTTGTAGGATGTAAAGACATATCAGGCTTCAAGTTATGATCCCCTAAGTCCTTGGACAAACCCCACTGGCAACAGGATGAAAGGGAAAAGCAAGGCTTGGGCTCTCTCCAGAAGCATAACAGCCCACATCCCTGGTCTCAGATCACTGAGCCTCAAGGCTAACTGCCACCTCCCAGGAGTCACAGCAGGACTTAAGCTATGGATTGACCTTGTACGCACTCCATTGAACAGTTACTCAAGTCTTGATGAGTCAGTGAGAGAGCTACAGATCACACCGAATGTCAACACGAAGTGCACTGAGACACCTGTCACGAAGGCCTGCTACTTGGTGATCACAGGTCTCTCCTTCACTGTTTAACAAAGCAGTCTTCCTTCTCATTCCCGCTGCCCATGGGCTCATCCTACTGGAGCAGAAATCATGGAACCTGCCCAGCCCTCTATTTTCCACATCCAGGCTGCCCTGAAGGACCTGACACCTTGACTCTACATGGCTTGGGCCCCTGTCTAAAAACTGTGGCCCACTCCTTGGAACAAGCAAAGCTTGTACACAGGGCAGTCAGAGACAAGGAGGAATTAAGAAGCAGCTAAGAAGCAGGAACAAAGCAGTAAGTAAATCAAGAGCTCAGGTGGAGGAGCTGTCACAGAAGGCCAGAGAAGGGCATTCAAGGAGGGACCGTCGTCCTAAATCAAAGGAGAAACACCTCTCCATCAGCTACTGAAGTCACTGTTAATACAAAGTTCTTGTGGAATATTACTTTAACTATGTAAAGGTGTGTTGCATCTCTTTATGTTATATTGTTTTACTACACAAAGATGTGTTTTACTTGTTTAATTATGTAAAGATGTGTTGCTGTTTTACCCTGCCTGCCTAAGGCACCTGATTGGCCTAATAAAAAGGTGACCAGCTAATAGCTAGGCAGCAGAAGGATAGGCGGGGTCTGGC